CCTAAACCCTAAACCCTCACTTTGGAGCCAGATCGAGCTTTTAACTGCCCATCCTTTCTCGCAGGCAGTGATGGAAGCGCTGTAGATCATGACATTCTTCTCCTTCAGTAACAGTTAAGTCGACTAACTCGTGAAGGGGGCAGCCCACTACAGAAACTTTCTACCTAAAACCCTAAAATTATGTAGAATAATTGCCTTCTTGGCGTGTTTTAAGGTTTTTGGGCGATTGTTTCACCTACTTTTGGGTCCAGGTCTGGAGACAAGGTAGCCTCCACACAGACGTCCTGATAACCGTATGACACCAGACCCTCAAAACGGTACAATGAACCGCGCAAACTGATCCCTGAACCCTACACCCTGATACCCAAAATCCGAAACCCTAGGCACAAAATCCTAAACATGAAGCCCCAAATCCTGAATCCCAGAATTCCAAAGCAACATACCTCCTGTGTAGCTTGATGCTCTGCTTCCAATCCAAGGTACTCCTCCCATGGCTTTCCACTCCTGGGCGCAAGTGTTGAAGGGCTTTGGGGTCAAACAGAGGGCTTACCTGTAGCCCCAAGTACCCTGACAAAATGGCAAGGGGTGCTGGTGCGATGCGCCCTGAAAACAACATGAAAAAGAACAGCAACAAATCAGAAATGAGGCATAGTCTACACTCCTAGTAACCCCCTTAATAACCCCCTATAATACTCCCCTATATATGCTCCTTTAAGAAGTTTAGACTATAGCTCGAGTGATGGCCAAGAAGCGCTCAGCAGGCCAAGTGCCGTTCGCCATTGACTCGCACGAGCCTGCGCGACGATGGACCTGCCGGGCCCCGCCCATCCCAACAAAGCTCCCACCAAAAGGAAAACAGAAATATCTAGATATGTACCAGAACCCTCCTTGTACCCCTAAAAGGGGTTCATGGTGCCTAATTAATAGTGGTAATAAGTCCCTATAGAGGGTAGATGGAAGGTCTAGGTACATAAAGACCTCTGGTTGGCAGTTGCCAGATGATATGGCGTCCATGCAGCCTCTGCTACTTCTCAACATCCGTTTTCGGGACTGAAGAGCGGGCTGAGCTGAGGTTATCATCCCCTGATCCCTGAATAGTGTACCCAAAGGGTCCATGTAGCCAGGGAGTATGTACTTGGGGTCCAAAGTAGTTAGAAGAGTACTTGGGGCCCGAAGTGTATACCATACATCTACAAGGACCCATTCCGACTCGGGATCCTATCTGCATACCCTTCTCTCGAGGTTCAACCGCCTCAAAGGAGTTTAGACCCTAAACCTTAAATCCTATTTAAAGACATTAGACTACCTGGACCCAAAAAGCAGCTAAAATAATAGCCCACAAGCACTAACAAACAGCCAAAAAGGAAATTAGTCTACCCACTTTTCGCGTTTAGGTACATAGACCCCCCTTAATTTAAAGACATTCCACTATACATCTTATAAGGGGAGTCGGGAGACCTGGAGCATTCGGAGACTGTATCGCGCCAGAAGGGGCTAAGCACCATCCAATGGCCAGGCGTGGAGCTTAGAATTCAATGTTTAGGATTTAGGGTTTAAGGGTTTGGGGTTTAGGGGGTATAGGATTTAGGGTGTAAGGGTAGAGGGTTTAGGGGGTATGAGGTTTAGGGTTTAGGGTTTAGGGGGTAAGGTTTAGGGTTTACGGGTTTAGGGTTGAGGTTCGCCGCTTAGGGTTGAGGGCTTGAAGTCTATGCGGTTGAGGAAGGGAGTGCTGGGCTTCAAGGTAGCGATTCGCAGGGCCTGTCGCGCAGGGTTCCATGCCGAGACTGAGCTACGGGCCAAAAGCAGAAGTCCTTCCAGCAACTGTTGACAAGCTCCTGAAACCCTAAATCCTAAACCCTCAGCGCCCCTAAGCAGACCGACTCTTAGCAGCTTCAAGGAGCCAGAAATGGCTTCAGTGGCGGGCTCTTCGAGAGTTGTGACTGTCAATGCTGATCTTGTAACGTTCCCTTCATTATGACTACTGCTATTGCTATGCTTATAGGGTTTAAGGTTTACGGGTTATATGGGGATAATGGAACATAAAAAGGAAGCTACTATAGTACATAGGGGCTATACTTGAAGCTTCATGAATACTTCTCACCACTGCTACATTCATCGCGGGGCCTGGTAGCTGCGTCTGCAAAAAATGCACTGACTTGTTCTTCCTCGCCTCATACCCACTTAGTAATTTCCCCAAATTAGGGGTACCTTTCTTGGGTTCCCATAATATTGGGGCCCCCTTATTTAGGGAAACTACCATTTCAAGTAGCTAGCATAATCAAACCTCTCGTCTTCCCTCACCTTCTGCTCCCACTTCTGGAAACCCTAACCCTAAACCCTTGTAGCTCTCGGAGCCCTACAACGCCCTTGTGAGGAACCACAATGTGAAAGCCACAGAGCCAACCTGGGGGTTTCTCAAAAAGGGGGTACCCTAGGGACCCCAGGGGATATGTAGGGATTAGTAGAGGGATTATGGGGGTCCTTATTAGGGAATATATAGGGATAATAATGAGAAATACCCACCTCAACCTCTGAAACACCTACCCTCCTGAGGCGTGCGCGGGAGGAAAAGGCGCACGCCTGCTTTAGGCAGTAGATACCGCGCTTTCAGCTCTTGAGCTACTGTAGGGGCCTGGATAACTACAATAGGACTTTGAAGTATCATATACTATATTTAGGCAAGAAATCTCAGGTAATAGTCTTGGTGATTAAAGGATGTAGGCTTCTACAATATGAGACCCTGCAGGAAAGCTGTGGGTGTGAGAATTCCTGACAAGCTTCTTACCACCTCAAGGGGCTCTATGTGAGCCAGGACCTACAGTCTAAGGACTTTTGGAGGGACCCCTAATAGGGACCCTCGTAGCTTATGGGGACTACCTAGGGATATAGGGGATATGTAATGACTATATAAGGGTTATATATGGTAATGGGATTAAGGGTCCCTAGTAGGGGTCCCTCCTAGGGTGCCAAGATACAGGTTCGGAAGCTCTTGCAAGACTGCGGAGGCAACATTCAGCGTTGTGGGTTATGAACATTTGCGCTTCATGGCGCCTGCTTGATTCCAGGAGGGTTGTGGCTTCACCGCCCGCTTTGGACTTTGGACCCTGAAGAGTCCACACTGTGGAACCTAAATTCTACCCTAGATGTATGCCATACATCTACCTGTACCCCTTCGGAAGACGGCCTGAACGGAAAACGGTTTCAGATTTAGGGTTCGGAGCCTCAATGACATCTCAAATCTCACTGCATTTCTAGGCTTTCCTAAGGATTGCGATCATGTTATATGATTGAACCAGACTGCTGAGCAACTTGACGGTAACTCACGTTTGCAGGATCATTGACGTTGAATCTCTTGCCGATGCAAATGGTGTAAAGATTCGGAGTTGAGAGCTTAAGCAAGTACTGAAACGTGTAGCCCTGAGGGGTTTAGGGTTTAGGGTTTTAGGGTTTAGGGTTTACACCTTGCTTATCTGCTCAAAAAAACCTTCCGTTTTGATTGTGCCTGAGGCTCCTGACTTTGAGAAACCCGACATCTAAAAAACCCAAACCCTCGACCCTAAACCCTCAACCCTAATCCCTAAGCCCTACTCCCGAAACCCTAAACCCTAAACCACAATATTCCCGAAAATTGAGCTGCGCCGAAGGGCCACGCCATCATAGAAGGTCGCTGTGGTCTGCAGCCCAAGCCTAATAGGTGTTGGAGTTTAGGCTTTAGGAGTTGAGGATTTCGCGTTTTGGGGTTTTAGGGTTGGGGTTCAGTCTTTGGCATCTATCCTCCCCTGAAACGAAGATGGCCGCCGATAAGAGGCTCTTCAATATCAACCGTCCTATACCCTAAACCCTAAACCCGAAACCCTAAACCTATATTCGGCCTATATGGATTTACATGTCAGCGGAGTCAGAAGTATGAGCCTGAACAATTGGATGAAGGTTTGTGTGGTAGACATATATGGGTGGTTGTCAAAATTATGGTCCCTTTTTGGGTCCCCTAAATATTAGGTGCCGTATTATGATAGGGCTCCAAAAAGGGCCCACAATTTTGACAACCACCCATATGAGGATTTCAAGAGGACAGACATTATCGAAATTGATTATATACATTACTTGGAGGTCCAGATGCATTCAATAACCGCCCTGGCGGAACTCTTTACACCTTAATTAGATGGCAAGCTTGCGCAATAATGCAAGATTCCGAGTTCTTCGTGCCTTTTTATTGCACGTGATGGGGAGAAGCTTCCCCGTAGAATCTGGACAGGGAGCTGATCGTTGCAGTACAAGCGCAACTTAAGTTGATGAAAGGGCTTCTAAACTCCTAGTATTCCCTTTAGAAACTCCTAGAATGCTTCCCTATATAATCCTTTATATGTCTATATAAGTATATGTATACCCCCTAAACCCTAAACCCTTTAAGGAGTTTAGACTTCTGGGAATAGAGCTGGATTTGGGGACCAGCAGGGTTTCATGGAGCCCTCCGCCTCCCTGCAAAAGGAAACGGCCAAGGAGAAGATCTGCCAAGTTACCCAGAGGGTTTAGGGTTTAGGGTTTATAGGGTTTAGGGCCATATATCTTTTCCATGATCCCTATATAGCCCCAAAATACTGTATAGTGGTGGTCCCAGAGGGTTCATATATACAACTATTCGGGAATTAGGCCCCCAAATGCCATACCATAGAAGGAATTACGGGTCCCAATTCCCTGGTGGTTATATAGGTGCACCCTCTGGGTTAGGCAATCAAAACGCAAGCTGACTTTCATGTTCCAAAAAGCCGTAGGAGACAACCCGCAATGTCCAAGAAATTCAGGGTGGGTATCAAATTCATACTGAGCCCTCGTGGCCAGCCCATATACATCCAATAGAGGTAGATCTCGCTAGTTCACCTTAGCACACGACTTACTTTTGAGATGAATTTTCGCAAAACCAAACGACATCTACTGTCACCCACCAAACTATGCCCTCTGCCCTAACAAAGTTGGCAAAACAAGTCTACGGCCTCTACAATCATTATTTTGTTGTCGGAGGGCTGCATGCGTTGCGCTTCTAAGAGGGATAGCCTACCAGAAGACTTCATCTAAACTTACAGCCGTGGGCCCCTAGTAAGGGCACTTCAACCCTGAGTTCTCTGCGCAGGAGTTTTCCCCAAAGCAGGAAAGGTCCAACCGAACCTCTGACCCTAAGCTGCTCTTGCCTGTGAAGACAGAAGAGCCGAGGTTTCTGATCCCCAAAAGTAAAGAAGTTGAATTCTAGGGTTTAGGGCTTAGGGTTCCCTACGAAGGGTTAACCCTTAGGTACCTATAATAGGAATAGAAGGGAATCCCAAAGGGTTAAGGGTCTAAGGTCCAAGCTAAATCCCAAGGAGAATTGTAATGGGGTTCTGTGATACAGCTCAGAAGGCTTCAGGTGAACTACACTTCCCCAACCGTGAAGCCCTAAACCGTCAAATCTAAACCCTAAGCCCTGAACCATAGCAGGCCCTTACTTCGAACCCTGAATCCTAAACCCCCTAAACCCTAAAACCACTAAACCCTTAAACTGTTTCAGCCCCTTGGGACCCTGGCAGCCGCATCTCATCCAGAAGCTGTGTGGCTGTTATCCAGGAGGTCTGGCGTCTATTTGATGTGTTGGGTCGGGTAGGGTGGAGGGTTGAGAGTTTATATAGGGCTTAAGGTTTAGGACTTAGGGTATCAGGTCGAGTAGAGTCTAGGGACCAGGGGTGAGGTTTTAAAGGTTAAGAGGGATCAGAATTTTTCTGTGCTTCAAGGATTCGGGTTTGCAGGCTTCCCAAAGTCGGGGGAATCTTGGGGTTTACTACCGTCCTCTTGCATGGATCTATGAGAACCATGTCAAGGATCTCAGTTTCTTGTCTTGCTACAGAAGCTGAAGCCCTAAACCTTAACCTAGGGTTTAAGGGTTTAGGGTTTAAGGGTCTCCTACACCCCGAAGTATGTAGAATAATTGGCTTCTGTGCTGTGTTTTAATGGTTCTTGGCTATTATTCTACCTACTCTTGGGTCCAGGTAAACCTTAACCCGCTCAGTTTCGATTTTGTGGCTTAGCTTTGGGTATGTAGAGGCTAGGTCTGAGGCTTATGGGTCTCACTGCCCATAGCAGTTTGTAGCCACTACGCTTTCAAGAGGTGCGATTTGCACTGCGCAAATCATCCATTCCAGCAGTTCTCACCAATGTCGACGGGATGTGATTTCGAGCTTCGAATCTACAGAATCTATAGAGAAAGGCATTCTAAATTATTGTCGGGAATCTGGCGCCCCGTCACTTTTGATTTAAAGGCCATTCTTGTCGGTTGCTGCTTGAACCTGCCTACAACTGCATATAACTGCATTCTAATCATTAATTTCACATCATATTATGTAAGGGCCGTCGGGCTAAGGAGGTCGGTCTCAAACCGCAATTAAGCCTCAAACCCTTGATCCTAGACTCCAAGCCCTAAATCCTGAACCCTTGACCTAAGCCCCATTTATATCTGCATGGACACTTTGGGTCAGAATCTAATAGCTAAAACACTAAACCCTGGACCCAAATCATTTAACCCTAACAATAGTTCACATTTTCTTTTCCATTATCCCTATATAACCCTATAGTACACAATATAACCCCCACATTACCCCTAAACCCGAACCCCTAAACTCAATTGCGCCCGCGTTGCAGGGCCCTGTAAGCTCCGAAGGGTGAGTGCGAAGTGCTCCGTGCTGGGAACCAGGCCCCAACGCCTGAGGGATGGTTCATTACGACCAGTAGGCTTAAGGCTTCAGGGTTCAGGGCTTAGGGTTGGGGGCGGGTCATTTTGCTTTTTGCGCTCTCAACCTCGGGAAATGGACGTGATATTTGGGGCTACTTGTACTGCTTGTTTCTTCCAAGGTTTGGGGTATTACAGCTTCGAGGGGTTGTTTCAGAGTGCTGTCGGGCGCGGGATTTCAGGCTAAGGCTCTCACGCCGTAGGCTTGCTGTCGGAATCGTGCATGGATGTCATAGGAAAGGGTTTAACCCTAAACCTTAAAACCCAAACCACGGGGCTTTAGGGTTTGGGGTTCAAGGCGTAAGGTTGCAGGAAAGTTCAATGCCCAAGGTCCTGGGCTCGCGGTTCAGGGTCGAAGGCTCGGCTGGTGAGAATATGCCGTCCAACCCTACCTGTAACCTCAATAACCTACAGTTTTATGGGTTATACCTACTAATTAAGGGGTACTTACTACTAAACTGTAGGTTATTGGAGCCACAGGTAAACCCTACCTGGACCCCAAAACCAGATAGGTTAATGGCCCGAAACCTATCAGAGAGGTCAAGCAGGCCATCATTCCATACACTTTTGGGCCCAGGCGGGTTTTCCACCCAGGAGGCCCCAAATGCTATGCAACCTTGCCGTCCACGTCCACCCATCCTTCCATATCAAAGGCTTTTGCAAAAAAATGCAGGGACCCCGTACCTAATTACGGCGGTAGTCTTCTGTTCTCCTGACCTTTACCGCTGACAAAACTGCAAAAGCATTTTCTCAAACCTCGGGGGCCTGTTTCTTGCACACCTGCGAATATCTGGAGCGGATCATCTTGGGACACCCAAGGCCATAGTTGTCCATGTAGGGAGATACTGCAAGTATAGTCAGGCCCAAAAGGTTTCTCATACAACTACTGTAGGGAGTAAGTATCTATATAAACATGTACATACTTGAATATACTTAATGGCTACATTGACTCTTTGGGACGCACAGATCCATAATTTTGGGAAAGCTCACTACCTATCAACCCTGAAAAGCTGATAGGTGCGTTGAAGGCACGGGCAAGCGTCGACCAGCAGGAATACGGCCTGTTAGTTGGGAAGATATTTGGCCCTAAACCCTAAAACCCTCAGCCCTACAAGCACTGTATCCTAAATCCTAAGTGCTTTACCCCAATTGGGATTTTCTGGGGACCCTAGCCCTGATTTCTGCATAGTTTACTTGAACCACCTCGTTAAACTGGTGGGTTGGAGCCCTAGGGTATACATATATAATAAGGTCTATAGAAATACGTATGATGGATATGTGGAGGAACACAGGGATTTGTAATGATCAGCGCGCGGGGCCTAAATACATAGAATTCGGTAATGAAGTCTGCAGTGCTACAGTTCTGTGATGTACGTTTTACGACGGGACAACCTTCTCACCTCAGCCCCCGAACAGGAACGTGTCATCTTTCACTCATGATGGGCCGGAATACTAGCATACCCCAGGTTTACAGGAAATCACGCTCGATTACGTTTGACCTGGTGTTGGTTGAAACCGTTTTTGGGGCCTGAACAGCGGGAGAGAAGCCCGCTTGGAGGTTCATGGAAAATGAGAGCCAGGATGCAAGTACCCCCCAAATACAGTCATGGCTGGAAGTTTCCCAGGTTCTGCCGGCTCCTGTGACAACAACCCATGAATCTCCAAGTAGTCTGCTATTCCAGCACGCGCCCTGAGCCCTGCAAGCAAAGAACTCTAGGCACTAAACCCCAAGCTCTAAACCCCACACCATTTCAGAGCCGCAGGCGGATCATGCTCTCTTCAGAATCTCAGATATACAAGTAGGCGGCCGGAGGTGTACGTGGGCTGCAGAGAAGGCTTGAGGCCTTTGGTAAACGTAGGACGTAGGAGGCGGAAGCATACCACATGGTGAGCATTTGATATTGAGGGATTATAGGGATTATTTTGGGTTTATATAGGGATTATGGGGGATATAATGGGGTTATGTTGGGATGATGGAAAAGAAAATGGAAACTACTAAATATTGGGATTGTGGGTGTCCCCACATTCTGCGCCACGGCTAGCCGCAAGTTGATTTTCCGTTCAAGCCACATGCAATCTGCATAACTAGGCTTGGATGTGGGAGTAGCTCTCGACGTCAGGACGCGTAAAGAACCCTCCCATTGATTTTAAAACAACAGCACGAAAGTCTAGGTACAAAGCACTTGCTGAGACGTGCATTGCTTAGTTAAGTCCATGATATGAGCATCATCCTGAAAAGGAATGATAGCGTGCATGGAGTACAAGAGGTACCACTTGTAATATGCAACCTAGGGCATAGGAATGACGTTCGCTTGGAAAACCAAAGTACCATGAACTTCATGCACGGGGCAGGATAGCCTTGATCAACCTTAAACCCAAGCCCTATATACCCTAAACTCCCAGCCCCAAGCCCTTCTCAGATTTCACTCCGAGATCAACAGCTGAGCCACGCTAAGAAGTTGCCGGTAGTCGTGCTTGGCTCCTGCAAGTGTCACCCTCGCCCTAATTACTTGGAGCCCCATGTAGACCCCAAACCTTGGAACTGTCTAGGTCCCATTTTGAGGCTCGGTTTTGATTGGGTGAATGTACCAGGGCACGCCTTCAGGCACTGGCACCAAGGCCGAAAATTGGATAACCACAAAGCCGTTGGGAGTGTAAAGTTCCTCTCCCCTACCAACACGTAGTTACCCTACAAGCCCAGTTACCTACATATTGGTTCCCTGTCCTTGGGTCCCTATATAGACNNACCCAAGAACCTACTATATGGGTACGTGGGCTTCTAGGGTTCTGCGCAAGGCCAGGCAATTGCCGATCCGTTCCTTGGGCTTGGCTCCTGCATAGCGTGCCACGCACTATAGGGGTTTCCCGAAATTAGGGCTACCCTTTTGGGGGTCCCCATAATAAGGCTTATAGTATTTTGGGGTTCTATATTGGGGTTCCCTTATTTTGGGAAACTACCATATACTCCCTATCATACTAGAGTTGTTTCCATGTTCTTTTCCATTATCCCTATATACCCCACATACTCCCTACTATGATGTAGTAGGTTCTATTTCCTTTTCCATTCTCCGTATATACCTCGCTATACCCCTGTATAGCCCGGAACGGGCAGGATTTAGAATTTAGGGTTATAGTGGGGTTAAATTGGGGCACTGGGGTCATAGATGCTGGCAGCACCAAGGTCCGAAATTAGGACCGCCACACGCAGAGGTTTGGAGTTTAGAGTTCCTCTCCCCCACCAAAAAAACATCTGGGTTGTTCTCATAATCATGGGCTCATTTTGGCTATAGGTATGTTACGGTACCTAATATATGGGGGGTTACCTATATGGGACTTTAATTTTGGGAACTACCCATCTTTGTGTTGGAGCAAGTCCGGCACAGCTAGAAGCCGCGGCCAAGGTTATTCAGCAGCCGTGACTGCCTCATACCCTGCCCCCGGCTTACTCCGTAGTAGCCTAGTTATCTTTTAGGATTAGGGTTTGGGGTGTACTTGAGGAGGACCCCCCAGCCTGCAATAGTGGTATGATAGGAAGATTGGAGAACCCTAATATGGTCCTCTGTATTGCTTATAACTTATAATCAAATTTACAGGGTGGGGGGTCCACCTAATAATAATAATAATACTCTATCCTGAACCCGGTATTAAATATCACGGTCCAGACAAGCCCCGTCTTTATCATGCTAAACACCACCCTAGATTAGGGGCCTCGTAACTGGCCTACTTGAAGGTTCATGGGACTTAGTGACTACCTATAACTGGGCTTACAGGCCTACTTATACCCCTACCCCCCTGAATGGCCGTATAGGGGCTACCCCAATTATAAGCAGGGTTATACCCCCAGTTATAAGTAGTTACTGAGTCCCATGAACCTCCAAGTAGTACCTTGATTTCGCACTTTTAACAACAGCCTGCAGCCTTCAATCTGGCGCTGGCAATCTCATCCACATCGTGGACATGCTCCGATCACAAACGCTTTATGTATTACCATCCCAAAACAGAGGGTGGAGGGGCGAGGTTTGCTTGCAAACTCCCTTCAGACGCTTGCACATCCAATCTAAGTATAAGTGTTGTAGCCATAGTCAGGGACGAGTCCTAGTTTGTAACTACAATTAAAAATATCATTAGCTACCCCGCCCTTCCCTGCTTGCCCTCCCATTGGTGAAGGAGAACTGGACCTGCCGAGTGCTTCCAACATCAATCAAGGGGTCAAAAACAAGTTAGGTGGAAGGTTAAGGAATCACCCAATAGCATTTGAGGTAAACTCCAAGTACGCCCGCCCGTAGCTATACAAGAAGTCTAGGACCACTATATAAGCCGACGTGTGGGTGCATGCTGGATGCTCTGAGGTGGACCTAAACCCTAAACCCTAAACCCTAAACCGCGTCAGCTGTGTGTTCTTCTTGGGGGTGCCCACATCCGAAGCAGCCATCGTTCGAGCCTATTTCCAAGCCATGGCATGGCCGCCCCAAACAACCCTTAACCACTATGGGCTATTAGACCTTAAGGGTACCTTAATCTACCCTTAATAGGGTCCTAATGGGGAATTTTAGGGTCTAATAGCCCATAGTGGAACCCTCAACCCTGAATCCTTAACCGCTTTTTTAAAATCATGCGACACATGTCCGTTTCTTTCAGCAGATTGCACCGGACGGGCGCCCAAGTTTTGCAGGAAAGGTAGCTTTGATTACAAAACGTGCGCTAGCTGTGCGGCCTGGCCTGTGGGAGCTCGCATTCAAGAGCCTGTGTCACCAAAGACTCCTGCACCCCCGCTAGTGCAGCAGAAAGGATGTGAGGTAGGGTTGGGTAGGTACTCAGACCCCCTAAAAAATCCCCAAAATGGAGCCACCTAGCAATCCCCTAGTTTCCCCAATGTAGTAATGGGTGTCATGTTGTGGGGGAATCCATTTTTTGGATCCTTTACAGGGTCTGGGTAGGGGCTTGGCACCATCTGCAAGGCAAGACTGCACAACCCAACCCGCAAACCCGCCGGAAGGCTGGAAGGTTGGAAGGCCCTAAGCCCTAAAACCCCTAAAACCCCTAACACTAAATCCCCAAACCTTAAAACCCCTAACCCGAACTCCTGAACCTGCAGGGGCAGGTCTGCATAGATTAAAGAGATACCTCACATCATAGGTCGCCAGCGTAGCAGAAATGGTGTGGGGAAGAGTTTTGGGTAGGAGGAGGTTGGGGAGTTGGTGCTGGCGGAAACTGGAAGGCTGGAGGTGTGGTCTGTCTGTCATTCGTTGGAGGTAGGGGCTTGGGCACGGTAGGCGGAGGATGGATAGACTATTACTATTACGATTATTATTACTATTATTATTATTATTATTTTTATGATTATTACTATCATTCTTACTATTACTATTCTTATTACTATTATTATTACTATTACTATTAAAGAGGCTGGAAGACTGACCTGGAAGCCTTGAATCAAGCTGCCTCGCTTGTGGCTCAAGTCTGGAAGTTTATTTCGGGAAATTACCTCGAATGCGGGTGTGCGAGCTCGTGGGCTCACATTCGTTTGTGCAGAATTATGTACGTAAATACATACCTACTTTGGGGGAGCGTTGGCTTTTCAGGTGGCGCGCAGCATGGGTTTTCAATGACAACTGGCGACTTGCTACAGTGAGAGCTCCGGAGCCCCATGAACCCAGTTAAAACAACTCCCTCTCACATGGCTGTCCTCAACTCTAAACCCTGAGCCCCTGGCGTGACAACCCCTATACCCTGTACTGCAAGAATACTTTCATCCTAAGGCTCTGGCCCAAAACCCGAAACCTTAAGTCCAAAACCCTAAACCACAAACCGCTACGTTGGTCAAGGGTTACATAGGGTTTAGGTATTACAGCGCCTGGGCGCGATGCAGAACTCGCAAGTCCTAGCTTTTCTGGACGTCCTGAACAAAAATGATATCCGATAGAGCGCTCGAAGCTGTACCCCAGGAAGGAAGTCGACACACTATACTCTAAACCCCCAAACAACCCTAAACCTGATTTCGGAAACGAGGAGGTCCCTTTAATGAGACGGAGGTTTGCCAATAAATATGTAAACATGACTT